TGCCTGTGGTGTGTCTGTGTGCACGCACACAGAGAGTGTTGTTCACAGTCCAAGTGTACTAACAACATGGTTTATATAAACACAACATAGTTTGGTTAATTAAGGTTGTGTGTATATGTGTGTGTGTTGGGGGGTGTACACAGTACATCACCAGGCCAGTACCCCTTTTACCTTTTCACACCTGCAGTGCTTTAGATACTTATACCAATCAATTTTTTTATTCTTATATTTATTAGTATAGATTCAAGGAGTATAGGTCATCCATCAAGGAAAAGGATGATAAAACAGGCACTAACACAACCTTTCTCCATGTGTATATGTGTGTGTGTGTGTCTCATTTTCTGTCTTTCTCTTCCACAAATGTGAGGCTGAGCAAAGAGGATCTCACTAGAGGATTCCTATAAATACATCTCGCTCACATTCATGAGCAACCTCTCCAAGAGGGCGTCTTTATTAAAACCATTTTGTCTTCCTCTGGTGCCCTTTGAATGGTTGTGTGTGTGTGTGTGCACTTATGTTTGTGTGCTGATGTCTTTTTGCCTTTGTGTGTGTGCGTGGTTGCCTATATTTGCATCATCATATGCTTATTTTTATGTGTATTGTATTTGTATGTGTTAACTTGTGAGAGTTTGTGCACATCCGTCCATTATCTATACCACTTATCCTGAATAAGGTTGCGGCAGGGGGTGCTGAAACCAGTCCCTGCTCATACTGGGTGAGACGTGGGGCACCCTCTGGACAGGTCTCCAGTCCATCATAGGGCTGACACTTAGAGACAGACAAGGGACAATTTAGAGTCACCAGTCAACCTAAGCTGCATGTCTTTGGACTTTGGGAGGAAGCTGACGCACCCGGTGAGAACCCACGCAGACACAGTGAAAACATGCAAACTTCTGACAGAAATGCATCGGGTAAGCTGGGACTCGAACCCAGAACCTGCTTGCTGTGAGGCAACAGTGCTAACCACTGCGTGCCACCCTTGCACATTTAATAGTATTTTCCTATTTCAGTTAGTTTGTGCTGACACTTTTATATGAAAATCCCTGTCTGTTTTTCCATCATTTTTAATGTGTGTGTGTGTGTGTGTTGTGTGCCTGTATGTGTAGTCTACAGTATATGTTGGCCATCTTATCTCCCCATTAGCCTCTTGTGCCCTGACCAGTATTCCCTCTCTCCCCTTCCTGCTTTCTGTAATGGGTAATTTAGCCATGCTCGCCTGACATCTAGCCTATTCCTTGTTTAGTTGCCATGGCTACGCAGGCCTATGGATTGCTCCTTTGCTCCCTTGCTCCCCTGCCCTTGCTGGGGATGCTATACCTGTAGTTGTCTCAACTATTACAGGGCACAGCTGCTAAACACAGAGCACACAGACACACACAATGTAGTCTACACAAAAACCCATTTAAACACTCTTAGTGAATATGGATTAATCTCTTTGCAGAATAGAATATCTGACTTGGATAAGCACTGAAACTGACAGTAACCACCAAGGTCATAGATGGTGTTTTAGATGACAGGTTAACAGCATAATAAATGCAATTTTAAGGCTTGTTTTATGTCTTTGTTTTTTGAAGTACCATCATTTCATTGAACCAGAATACTCTTCTCATTAATGCTTAGAGTATAATAAGTGATTCTTTATGTAATAATCAGACACAGTTGCAGAAAGCACTTGCATGAAAAGCAGATCATGTTTTAGCCATCAGTACATCTTGCAAGGTTGGCCACATTTTACCGATCCAAGCATATTTGTTCTGTGAGATGACGAGAGGATATTATGAGCTTTCTGAATTTGCTTTATTGTCATCTTAGGTACAATAACTTTTAGCATTATAATTTCTACTGTGCTGTATTTTTATATGGTTTTATTGCAGCAGTTTCCCTGACAGACCCGGACCTGGCTGGAGGCAGCAACCTGCTGGTAGATGAGGAGTTTTTGTACTTCCCAAAAAGATATCATACTTCCAATTCTCAGCCCAGATACCTACAGAGGCCAATTCAGATGATTCACTGTGAAAGTATAAATGTGTTCACTGTGTGTGTACATAAATTCTGTCATTGATTTTTATTTTCATTTTCATAACAGCATATATAATAAAATGTTTTTGAAAAGTTTATACTCCCCTGCCTCTCAAGAAACTTATTGTACTTTGTCATCAGTTTTGTGAGGTTGTTACAGTAGATGTGGTGCCATATGCCAGAGCTGCTTTTTACTAAAATTACACACCAAACAGCACATGGAAAAATAAGGCTTGCAGGCAGCTCTGGATTTGGCTTCTCTTCCTCATGTATTTTGCAGGACTTGTAAGTTGCAGGTGGAGGGTTAAATTGAAAGGCTTTGGGTTCAAAACAAACAAGCGTGCCTGAAGTTTTATGCTTTCATTATCAAGAGCAAAGGACAGAGAGAAAGGCAAACACATAGGCTAGGGAGAGAAGCAAGGGAAGGGATCGAGTGTATAGAAGTGTGAAGCCCTTGAGTTGAAACTGCACCTTTCTGGGCCTACACAGAATACATGACAGTAGCTTTGGTTTTTAGTACAGAGCTCACAGTACTTTAGTCTTACATAACCCATCCCATTGTGCTTTTTTCAGTTATTTGGGGAGAAATCCTCAAATATGCACTTTAAAAGTTGATACCTTCATGTATTCTGAAGAAGGGGGAAGAGATGGGGCGCGAGATGGCTCTGACAAGTTTCGACCTTTATAATATTTTGTAAGGGATATCAGCAGAGTTTAACAGTTTCTGGGAAAGGGGATAGACACTGAGAAAGACATATTGCATTGGAAGGGCAGATGCAAGTAGTACAAACTTAGATATTCTTTTTTTTTTTTTTTTTTTTTACCCCTCCCCCGATCCCAAATTCCCCTTAAGGTGCCCCTTACCCTCCTTCGCCCCTCCTTCTGCTTCTCTGTGAGGTTAAAGCACACCTTCCTACTAAAGGGCTCTGGGGTCACACATCTGCATGTGAAATGTGAACCCACTGACATTCCAGGGCAGCCCTAAGCCGTGCAGTCCTTTTGTTCACTAAGGTGCCAGTGTCAGACCTATAAAGTCCGGTCTCTGAGAGACGAAGATAGGGAGAAAGGTGGATGTGTTATTGATACCCTGTGCAACCATTCATTTTCATAAATGCCAAAGTAGGAAAAATGCTTTTTACTGGACAGCTTCCAAATGACATTGTTACTATGAGCTGGCTGTAACACCAAATAACATTGCTTTAGGTATGGTAACGTGATAATATATGGAGAGGTGAGGGGGTCTATACAGTATACTGAGTAAGGGCAAGCCAACCATGAAAAAACCGACAACAGTGCAGACCTTAGCAACTGTGAGTCCAGTGTTGGCACCAGAATTGTTTATATTCACAACTTGGTACAATAAATAAATTAAAGTGCTGTTTCCATACTGTTCAGCCTTTGGATTTTTGAATAGTCAAAATTTGACTAAACCTGGCATGTTTAAGCCAACAGATAGTTTTCAGGCAAACCTCAGTGAACATGCAAGCTCTTTTAAATTAGGCAGCGTACCGAGGTGCTATGGCAGGGCTGGAGTTCTTTCAGCCTGTGAATTAAGTTCTGCGGCACAAAGGGCAGCTATTCACCAGGCAGTGATGGACTTCACACTAGCCTTTATGCTCTCACTGGCAGGCAAAGAGAGAAAGGGAGAAAGTAAAAAAGTTGAGAGGAATAAGTGAAATAGAAAACAGAGAGATTGCCTAGGCAGTAATGGTGTGACCTGACAAATATCTTAGTAGAAAGTATTAATTAGTTTGATCATTATATAGGTTTCTGTCATGACATGGATTGTAATACATTTAAAGTCATTTCATTATTGAATGTAATGACAAAATGAAAAATGTAATTTTTAGATAAGATGATACACATCATTCAGGATAAACCTGTTAATGGGTGTTTGTTGACCTTGGATAGTGCAAAGACAAGTAAGGTCCAGATCTTTATATTACAGATAATGTCAGTGTTTATGATGCCTAAACAAGATGCACTTATAAATATGATCTCTGGGCATTAAGAAAAATGTTACTACATACAGAAAGAATTCTGTAAAAAATACTCTTTCAAGAGATTAATAAAGGTTTCACAGTTTAACAGTAAAACTGAGCACAGTGTGTGCATCTGTTTTCTTGAGTCTGATTTATTCTGCCTCAGGTCTCAGTTGTGACTGACTGTGATCTCTAAAATCAACACCTGCTCCGCCAAGGGATGTGCCCTGCCTACTTGTCCGACTGTCTGAACTGGAGTGTGTGTTCACATACATATAATCACTTCATTTCCCACTTCCCACCTGATGGTCTTTAAGTGCACATACAATGTCGATGTTATCTTAGTATAATAATTAGCCCTGAGGTCCATGCATAACACCACCACACTTCCATATCACACCACACAAACACTGACATGCTTTTTCACTGTACACTTTTACTTACTTTAGCATATTGTAAGCTGGGCCTGACACACTCATGCCACATTCCTTCCCCTGAGGAACCGGGTGCAGTGCGAGTGATTCGGTTAGCGTTACTACATTAAAGCTGTCCATCCATCCGGTCTGCTTTTCCAAACACATCCATTCCAGTCCTAGTTAAAACACTGGGGGATCTCCACTCTACCTCCGCCCCCCAAAGTCTTTTATGATGTCCATAAAATGGAAGAGTGCAGCTTTACTTGAACTAATAATATCTGAGCTTACGGGGCCATGATTGATGATCTTTAAAGCCAGCCCGATCGGTCTCATCTTTCTTCAGATTTTTATCACTGACTTGTTTGCAGTCATGTGCAATCACAAGCACCGGGAGAGGTAACAAGTGCTTGATGTATGATGCTTGAGGCACTTTTGTCAGCTGCGTATTTCCCTTCTCTCTCTGCTTTTTTTTCCTTTCTTTTCTGTTTTAACCGCAGGCTTCTATTTGTTGCCTCTCTTGAATTGTTTGCAATCTGTTGGTTTACTGTTCTTGCTCTCTTCCTGTCCTTCTCTCTTTTTTCAGATGGTGGGAATGTCTTCTCCTGGGGGACGGGGCAAGAGGTGAGCCAAACATTTTTCCACTTTTGGCCCTGCCAGGAGAGGCAGACTTAGAACAACACTGGACTCCAGGCTTTTTTCATGTCACACAAGCTCTCTCTCTCTCTCTCTCCTTCTCCTTGTCCCTCTGTCCCTCTGTCTCTCACTCTTTCTCACACACACAGACACACAAATGTCTTCCATTTTTTTAAACATTTTGCGAAGGTCCATTTTTTTCCCCCAGAGCGGAGATTAAAAGGGTTTGGGGGATCTGTGTCCGAGCCCTCCCTTCGAGCACTTAATATTTTTCATGGTATGCCAAGAACCCACATCATTTTAAATTCTATAAATCACCTTTATGGGATCTGCTGTTTGTCCATTTCAACTCCTCTGCTTCACATGGACAGAGCAGGAAATCCTTTTTTGAGGAATCAACTGTAGTTTATGTATGTGCACGCCCCTTTAAAACACACATAGCCACACATATGTGCATGTGAGGCTCTGTGTGTGTATGTGTGTGTTTGTTAGCCTTGTCCTGTCTCTCCTCCTCTGTTAGATAAAGAATCCCACCTGTCACTGAGGATTGTTCTGGCCTTTCATTTAAGACGTTCTTTAAAGAGCTGCATCATTACACAGCTCTCAGACAGAGCCCAGAGAGTGTAAAACCTAGGCCCACTTCAATCCCTCTGTTCCTCTCTCTGATTCTTTTTCCTGCTGGCTTTGGTGTTTATCTGCGAGGTTGTTTAAAACCACAGACAAAATGTGATCAATTTTACAGTGTGACACAGAGGATGAGGCTTTGCCAGGACAGTGAAACAAACATGTAGGTGAAGGTTAGAGAGACAGGGAGAGCAATGAAAATGTTAGACATCAGCTGTTATGAGCTTTGACGTGGCCTTGGCTTTCACATTGTGCTCTTACTTTGGAAGGTGGCTTCAAGTCTAGCTAGACTCATTGGATTTTCAAAGGGTGTCCTCACTTCTGTATGACTCTAAGTTAGTCTCTTAAAGGGCACTGTCCCTTTTTTCTCTCCCCTCATCATATTCTTTCTTTCTCTACTTTCTTCCATCTATTTTCCTCCCTTGTTTTTCCTCTATGCATGTTCTTTCCCCCTCTCGCTCTTCTATTCCCACCCTTCTTTTCTTGTTCTTTCTCCATCTCTCCTATCTTCCTGCCCTTTCTCGCTCTCTGCTGTCTTGGAGCCATTCTGATGATTGATTGTTTCTCTGTACAGTCTGACAGGATGTAGCACACTCTCGGCCCCAGGGGCCCTGAGCAGACTACAGCACCTGATTAAGACACCCCCTGTAATCAGCTGCACAGTGCCACACCAAAACTACTCCCGTCAACATGCTTAAAAAAAAAAAAAAAAAAAAAAAGAAATGTTCCACCTCCTGAAAGATAACAGTTTGTTTGTCACTGGAGAAAAAGTGAGATGAGGGGCCATCTGAAACTTTTTTTTATTAAGCTGGTACCATCCTCTCTCTGGGGCTTAAAGGCTCTTATGCATCAGTAGCAGCAGAAAAAGTAGAAAAGCAAAAGGTCTTAAACCTAATAAAGTTCTCTGCTGCCTTACCAAGGTAAACCCAGGCAGCTTTAACCCTATTACAACTGGTAATAGTTTTACAGATAAAAATCTCATTGTTTTCCTCCTATTGAGACTAAAAGACAACTTGCACTCTATCACATGATTGAGGTGAGAAGGAATTTGACTGATGTCAGAGAGCACATGTCACAACCAGAATATGGTAACACTATAACAGGAATAGCAAATAAGTGTTAAAGCAAGCCGGAGTACTAAAGGTGGTCAGATGTTTTGATTGTTTGTGGAGTAAAGAATCGCCTTTACAGTAACACTATTGCTTATATTACAGGTTATTGAGTTAAACAATAAGCCATTGTAAGTGATGCCATTAATGCAATACAGACAAATACATTTGCTCTCCTAATGTCAGCTGTGTGATAACAGGGTTGACTGTCTGCTAAAGGGATTCACCTGGCCAGATGAGTTCAACCGGACATAGACCTAAATTGACATAACATCCAATAGACTTTAAATGTGAGCTCTAAACGGCCTACGTAATGAGGTAGACAGTATGGAAAGAAAGCCACTCTCATACAAAGCAGACAATGTTACCACAGAGATAAGGTACAGATTGCAATATACTGTATCTGCATTATTAATGAATTGCAAAGCTACAAAACAAAGGTCTTTTTTGGACAAATGATTTAATAGTCAGGGAAAGAAAGTGCAGTGTTGATGCAGCAACTCAGGCCCTCCAACGTACAGTATGTAGCTGAAGCCACAGATTATAGTAAACCCAACCATACATGCCTAGTATGCTACAGTTCAGCGGCAACTCAGAGGCATTAAAACCACAGGTAGTGATAGCTTGTGCAATGTGTTTATGCATGTCATGCTTTCAGAGCAGTGTGGCTATTTGGCATGTCACTTGCAGTTCTGACTGCAACATAATGATGTGAGTTACTCATCAGGAATGGTAAATAATAAAAGAGTCAGTCTGATGGTAGTGGAAACCCCAGGCCTGGTTCCAATACAGTTCAGGCCTCATCGAACCTTGGGTGTGTTCCAAATTGATTCTAATATGCTCTGGGCTTCAACAATGGCATAACATGAATGTTAATGACGCCATGGATCTACAGGTCCTATTTTGTGTGAATGAAGAGATGAAAAACTTATTGTGTTTAAGGGCACAAATAAGTGTGTGTTTGTATATTAGTGTGTTCTTATGCATGAGGTGAAGTCTATGTGTACATAGTAGAAGCACATTTGCCTGTGGGTGCCTTTGGTATTTCACCGTGCTTATGTT